AAAGGACATTTCAGTTGATTTTCGGTAAATATTGGAAAAATCTTACTTCCGGGTGTTCGCCACAGTGGTAGAAAGCTAAATTATACTGCTGCTCCATTATCTACTAATGCGTTTAAACGTTGCCCGCGACTCATCAGAACGATAATAAATACACCGTGATTATAAATTACTTTCAATGTTTATGATCTGTTGTCGTAAACCATTACGCGAGTTACATATTATCTTGTTTACATTGGTTACGAACAACAACAAAAAATAAATGGATCGTTATGTATTTTAATGATCAAAACACAAAACAATTTTTGATAACTGTATAACATTCTGAAATGAAGATGATATACGACTGTAAATGTTTTTGAATTCTCGTTTACGTACGTGATTTGACAGTATTAATATACTAAAAAATACTCGTGGATAAGAAATTTTTTTTTATGAATAATTTTTTTTATTTCAGTAATCCATTAAAAACAATATTAACTAAACGTTGTAATATTTATATTGATTTCGTTGTGATATTTTTTTTTGTTGTCTTTCCGAGAAAATCTTTTTAACATCGTTAAATAAATAATATATTCACGTTCAAATTTCTTTAAGTAATTTTTTTAAAAGTAAAATCCTTTCAACTGTTACAATACATTTACCTCGGGATTCTCGGAAAGTGAGAATAATTTAAAAAAAATAAAATAAAATAAAATTACGATAGTAATTACTAAACGTCCGCTTGAACTATAATCATCCTAAACATAATGATGGATATCGAAATCGGATATGGGATGATCGTGGTGCTTGGATGAGATTGGACAAATTAAAAAATTCCATAGAGATTTGCGTGGGGGTGGAATAGATGCACAGAATCGGCGGCAGTAGTGGTGGTGGTATTTGAATGCAAAATGAATGCGGCGGGAGATGTTATAGTGGAGCAGCGAAAAACCGTGAAATATGTCCAAGCGCGGTTTATGGGATTGACCGGAAGGAGAGAGACATGGGGTCATCCATCACTCGGGATGGGGTCCTACGTTTCCCGCAACTCCACGAGCTCTTGGCAAGGGGTGAAAAATATTAAACTCGAGGAAATATAATAAATATATATATTTATATATAATGCAAAGGAGGAAAAAGAGAGCCAATGAGATAAATAGAGATTTCGAGAGAGTAAAGTTCGACTTTCATTAAAAATATCGTGCAACAGGAATATCTGAACGTACCGTCTGGTCCGGGGGTGAACTTTTTCCTTCTCGTGGCACTGGTATATAATCAATTGTACAGTTTAAATATTAATCTTAACTATCTTCATTGAGTAGGTTATAACATTAACAGAAAGTGCTCGAATTATAAAAGTATAAGTAAGAGAACTCTGTATAATTAGAAAAACTCATCTCAGAAGAATCTCCAACGTCATCAATAAACACAGTTCTTAAATCATTTTAAAATAACAATTATAGCAATAATCGATTTAATTTAGAAAATTAATATAAAATATGTTCAATGATAACACAAAATAATTCTCCATAATAATTAGGACATGAAAGCTATTCTTTATTTGTACCAATAGTTTTTTTTTTTTTTTTTTAAGTAATTTTATTTTTACTAATAAAGGTAATTTCTACCGATCTTGAAATGTAATATTTTTTCTAGAATTCAAAGTTTTCCGTGGATAAATATTATACAATGTATATTTAAAAAAATAATTTATAACTCATAATATTTTATAAAGCGAGAAGAATAATTTGGGCTATAGAGGTATCTTTACTTTCGACCCAGTAAAAAAATTAGCTGTGGTATGTGTAAAGAAAAAAATATTAGAGAAGTTCTGCCCACGTACACACATATCAACTTATATTATTTTTATTTCTAACATTTCAAAAACTAATTGCCATTTCGTTTCGATACTCTACTCATACATAATATAAACATTTTTATTTTTTTTTCTCGCGCAACTTTGTTTCTCACTTTATATTGATCGCACCAAAGTGGTTCAATCCCAGTATAATTTCTTACAAATATCTAAATCACTATATTCATATTTCTAATAGTTAATAACCACGAAAAATAATAGAACCCTTGGTATTTGGTATCTCCAAATCGTCTCGATATCCATGTTTCATGTAAAACAATAACAATGGTGTTGAGAAAATCTATTTGCATTTATTTATTGATTTATAACTAGGAAGAAATATGTTAAACAGCACATTATTAGCTCCTATCTTTGCGGTTTCTGCATATTAAATCCACCATCATCACCATATTATTATACATGCATGCACGCAATATCGCCGTACGGTTAGTTAATCGATTACGAGAATCGTTAATGACCGCCGCCGATTTGAAGACGATGAACAGAAAATGGCAATATGATTCGAAAGATAATGTGATGGAAGTAGATGATATGAACTTTTGCCGAAACTTTTGTCTCCATCTCTCGTTAAATGAATTTCGAATTTCCGACGATATCCGAGGGCTACAACTACCTCGCTATTCCTCCCTCCCGCTAAAGGCTTTTAAACTCGAGTGAAATTTCCATTTTGACGTCGGGGGTCACATCAAATATTCGTCATCGTAATTCAATTGCGGTGCACACGCAGACCGTAGTTGTTCGGCCGAGAGAGGCGGGAGTGTAGTTCAAAAAGTGCGAAGGGGGGCATACAGGGGTGATTTCGGAGGTTGAGGTACGGGGTGAAAGAATAAGGTAGGAAGAGAAAGGAAGATAGGGTAACCCGTATTAGCATCGAAGGGATCACATTCGTCGCGTAATGGTATTTTTCGTCCCGTATGACTTTTATGGTTTATTTAAATTTTAACTCCCCTCTCTATCACCACCCACTGTCGCTGTTTTATTTTGTTCGTTCTTATTTTACATAAAAATACAAAGTAAACAAAGGTTGTTTAAAAAATCACTTTGATGAACGCATATTATTATTATTATTATAACGCAAGCAGTGAGCCCGCCGCCATATGTGCTACAGTTTTTACGACCACCACCGACGAGCAAACATCGATTATAGGCACTAAAACGGGTCGTTTAAATGTGACATAATATGATATTTTTGTCTAATACAGTGATTTTTACACACGAGCAGTCATCAAACAGAAAGCCTTTGAGTATTATTATATGTACTCGATCCGTTACATTAACTAAATCACAGAACGATTCATTTGGTATAATAATTACCGCGAAATCAATTAAAATAAACTTATTTGAAGTCGTATATATTGTAATTAACCGTTTGGATTGTTCGATTGAAAACGCAAAAATCACACAACATTTTATACATATTTTTATTATCAATTTTTTCCCAGACTAAAATTGTTCAAGTTCAGCTGAAAATTCAATCTGAAATAGGCTGAAAACTTCAAATGGTTTTGTATGCAAAGTGTATTAAAAGTTTGGTGAGTTATTCTAATTTTTCTCCAATTAGTTTGATTATTGGTTAGCTTTATTCGATTTCTTACAAGTTATTTAAAAATACACAAAGAAATTGTTTTCTAACGGTGATTGTGATAACGAAATCGATATTTAATTAATCATCATAGATTTATTATTTATTTGCATGACAATCAAGAAAGATAAAAGCTATAAATTTCCAAATTATCTTGAAAAAAAAAAATAAAATATTTATGGTGAACATTTTTTGAGGCTACCACTTAATTCTGTAATGTTATTTAAATATTATCGATTACATCATTATACTCATTTATATTTTATAAAATTTCTTCCGGGTTTCTAGTTTAAAATCTTTATTCGGCTTAGACATTACAAAGTCAAGAGAGAAAAAAGAACATTTCTTATAATATTGAATCATTTACTTTTTTGTATAACATTAGTATAATAATAATATATTGTTAAACGATAAAACCATATATTACACAGAATTTTACTATATGGATATTTTCCGAACTGTTTTCAACGTATATTAATTTTGCTTATTTGTTAATAACAATATTAAAATGTCACTTTTAGACTATGCTTTGAAGCTTATTTTTAAAGCTAATTGATGACGACGCTATAAATGCACAGTTCATACGTGATAATCCGTTTTTACTAGTTTACTGTTATATTTTAGAAGAAAAACTGAAGTTATCATCACCAAATATATATTAGTATAATTAATAACACAAAAAAATCAAAAAAGTTCTTTTCAAAAACTTTAAAGCAGAAAATGAAGTCTAGTTCTTATTCTCCTATTTACTATACGAATATCATTATTGGCATATTGAATGAGAACCTTCAAACTAATTTAATGTTAGTTTTATCAACCGAAACGGTTACGTCATACGGACCGATTTTATTTGAACTAACCATTACGGTATACGGTTACGTTTTATAAGTTCACGTTTATGTTAATGGTGCCGTATAAAACATTTATAGGCGTTTAATTTCCAAAAAGGTTTCGGTTGATCGAAACTTTTAACTACCACCGGACGCATCAGAATTCCGCATACACAGGAATCATAGTGTTTTTCAAAATAATTTATATTAATTAATATTATGAATTTCATATCCCTATTTCCTTTGCATAACAAAACTTAATTCGGGTTAAAAAAGAAAATTATTAACAAAATAGTCAGTTATTGTGGAAAGTTCACGATCGTCGTCAACGAATCATTTTCTAATAACTTTCCAGTCAATAGTTTGCAAAAAAAAACCCCCCGATCAAAGAAAAAGACGATAAATAAATCGTTGGAGTTTGCAACAGAAAAATTTTAATGTTATGTGGTGATTTTAGAAATACATAGCAATATGTACAAATATCGGAATTGGATTTTTTTTTTTTATAGAAGCTTATATATGAATAGCGTATCACCATCGTATATAAGAACATAAATAAATGTTTAGTTTGAAGTGAAATTTAAATGTAAACGAAATATTGAGTTTTTATACACAATAATATTATAACAGATCGACTTGGCTTTTGGTTTGTTGAACATATTTTTTAAACTATTTTCATACTGTATACTGTGAAAATTAAATTTCGAATCAAAAAAACACAATGCACACTCACCTTAACGTTTATCGTCGACTCTGCGAACAACACAGTGATCAATTGCAATACAATGGGCAAAATCTGAAACACAAAACACATGGTTAAAAAATAGAAACGATTAATATCAGGATACAAAATAAAAACAAAACAAATAACAATAGCCATAAAATGGTAAGGGGGTAAGTATGAATATCACAAATAAATGTTTGACGGTAACGTTTTGTTAGAATTATTGTAGCCCGTATGTATACGGGTTTTCTCGTAAACACGCGCCGCGTGTAGAGAAAAGAAAAGTAAATAGAAAATACGACCCGGGGAACGAACGGCTAAAAAACGATTATGCCTATTGTGAGGCTACCGTGTACACAATACGGTCAAGAACTATACTGCATTTCTACCTCAATGGCGTTTCGTTTCTTTTTCTATTCATTTTACGTTCATCCACATTTTAAGGTTTTGATATGTCGTCATGACGGATCGAATTTTGTATTTAACAATTTTCATTTCTTACCATGATGTAAGAACATTTCCCAATGTGCACATAGGGGGGTTTTTTGTGTGCCGTATCCAATCGAGACTAATAGGAACAACCATTGTATCAATTTCAATTAAAGGCCTTAAGAGGTTTTGTGAAAAGAAACCTAGAAATACATATATATATATATATATATATATATATATATATATAATTTGTATTCTTTATGTAAGTTTTCAGTTATTTTACAAAATTAAATGAAGTCATATTGTTTAAGTACGAGTAGCTTCGTCAAACAATGTAACAATATTCAAAATTTATTTTTTATTTTTCTATCGTTTGCTTGTACAACGAAAATAAAGATAATAATGCACCTATAAATATGCGGTCGAATTCAATATAATAACGGACTATTACATAAATAGTTATGCAATATTATAACAACTGTTATCATAGAACGTTGAGTATGTAAAACAGGCCGTTCCTAAATACTGAAAGTTGATTTAAAGATTTTGGAGTCCGATGCATGAGTCCAACAAAGATGGTAAACGAAACCAACAAAACACCTCGTAAAAAAAAGAAATCGTCTGAAACGAATGACTCCCAAAGGATTATATGCAAGCGATGACAATGCCAACGTCTCTTTGAATTAAACTCTATGTTTAAGCGTACCCTGTGGAGGAACAATATGCATTTTCCCCGGAGACCGAAACAAAAAACGCGATACCATTAATAAAAAAAGAAAATAACACCGATAGAGGATAAATTAATGTATTAAAAAGATTAAATTTGTGTTTTCACGAGACGGTATACAAATTAATTTTAATATAATAACGTACCTAGTAATCATAATATATAAAAACAATGCTATTAATTTAGAAATTCTGGACACGCGATCGGGAAGTGCATTTCTAAGGAACTCAGAAGTATAGAACTCGTAAGGGGCTTATTTTTTATATCCAATCACAATAAAATAAAAGTTTTGGAGGCCTGACAAGTTTCTGACAAAAAAAAAAAAAGTATAAGTATTATGATAATATTCACAGAATTAAGTTGAAAGCGTGTTACTTTTTCGACGAAAACATCCATTTAGTTTACATTATTTATGCAGATAATTTATTCAACTGTTCAAATAAGTTCAAAAAGTTTTAACAACTGGATGAATAAAAGAAAATAAAAGAAAATCACGCTATATCAATCTTAAAAGGGTTTATTACACCTTTTGGAAGATAGAAATAAAACTTTTCTTTTTCGTTTGTTATCATACGTTATAAATAGCTATTAATAATATAATGTATAGTAACATAAGTGTATTAACGACTAATTTCCGTGAAAATGTTGCAATTAGAATTATTTAGTTAAAGTATTTCACGTGAGATTATTTTGAATTTTGAAACGTTCTGACGAACTTTTGAAAAATATTTCAATTATTAATTTCATTATAAAGAGATGTCTATAAGACGTAGTTATTGTTAAAATAGATTTTTGCAGTGTTATAGTTTTTAAATTTATAATTATGAACAGACAACATAAAATTGTGGTAATAGTTTGTCATTACTATCTATGATATTTGAATGGTATTTCTTTAGTTTTGATTTTTAAACATTTTTCTCAACCTGTGCTTAATCAATAATGTATTGATTAAAAAAAATAACATAACATAAATAGTAATTTTTTTAAACGTTCATATTACGAATAAAAAGTGTATTGTATTCACGGTTTAGCTTATATCAAATAGTAGTATTAACTTTAATACTTGTAAATTGTGTGTGAGAATGTATTATACATGTACCACTTCGATGTAATTTTTTCAAACATTTTTTTTTGGTTTTTCATTTCTTATTGAAATAAAATATCGAAAAAAATAAATTAAAATTCATGCAATTCAAAAACACTTATAAATGAAATGAATGAGATGAAAATATCAATATTGGTTTACACATGTATGTCAGTTCATATTTGTTTTTAATCCATTTAATGTGGATTGTATTTTGATGGGTTTCAGTATGGAAAGTTCATAAGAAAATCAAATAATATGTATTGTATGCGAGAAATCTATTGAATTAGCATGTAAGCAAAATGTTAAAATGATTGCGTGCTACGGGTTTCCTGTGTATAAGTAATATTGTTTGTGATGTAGTAATTATTTTACATCAGTAAGCCCGATATTTTTATAACATCTGATTTTACAAGATATACTTATTACTCGTATATATATATTAATTTGAATGTAAACAGATAAAAAGCAAAAATAATTTATTTTTCTCTACTGTATTTATTAATAAGATTCACATTAGTGATGGGAATTATTCGAACATTCGAATATCAGTATTCGATGCTAAAATACAATACGTAACGAAAATGATTCGTTTAAGTTTTTGCGCAACACAAAACGTTTAATAATAATATTATATGGCTTATGGTGCATAAAGGTCTGCGAGAAGTGAATTCGAAGACAGCGGTATTTACTATTTGACAGGGCAATTAAAATAAAAAAATAAAAATTGTGCAAAATACTTGAATATCATAATTAAATTATTACAAATACATAAAATTATTATTAATACAATATAAACTATAAATCACTCTAGAGAACATCGATTACAACGATATACTACTTACAACAAGCAAATCGTTAGGTCCCGGCACGGCACATATGATTGTATGTCAAAATATACGTCTACAACGATTAAAATAAAGCTAACTACGAACAGGTACCTGCAAAATAAGAACTATTTTCCTATTAATCATTGACATACATTTTCTTTAGTTGTGTAGATATGGATTATTTATTAATAATAAATAGTATAAAAAGCTTGTCACGGAGAAACGGATAAAACAAATTAAGTATTGTACTCGTAGCATCGAATACTGATATTCGAATGATCGAATATACATTACATTACTAATTCACATACATTTAAAACCAAACATTGGATAATGTGATATAATGATTTTATAAATACGTAGATACAGACGATACAGACCATATGAAGGCTTTCTTATTTTTAATTAAAAACAAATAAATTACAATAAAAACAACTTTGAGATCGTTTTTTTAACTGCTAGTTTGGTGCTCTTATTACTTTTTATTTTTAAATTGCTCCCACTCAGCGAATTAATTTTTAATAGTATGACTGCTGCACTTGTAAAAATTAATATTTGAAGACAAATGTCTGTTTGAATTTAATACCGATTCTCAACATTTATTTTCTAACTATAAAATTAATTCTGAATTGTAAAAGGTTGGTGGCTTATAACAGGAAGAAGCATGTTTATCAATTTATACTAATTTATCACATAAAAAAATAAAAAGTTCATAGCTAATTACAAATTAGTACTTAATAAGCTTAAATAAAATAATTAATCATAATTGTTAACCATTTTCTTATGAAGAGTTGATAACATGATGTACACTACAAGTAAAATATATAGTACATATATTAAAATATTGCTAAATCGGATTAAACAAAAATATTTAAAAAATATTGATAAATTAAATTAAGATTTGATTAAGAAATGAAGTGAAATTTGATATCTTCATGGTTATACATTTTATAGTTTTTATAGTTTTACTTTAGAATATTTATAAGGTTATTTCCATTACCTACGTGATATTTCAATTAAAAATAACATTTATTATACAAAGTTTGAAATTAACTATTATAAACTTATCTCGAATAGAAAAACACTTAAATAAGTTCTGATAATTTATAAAATTATTTGAAAATTAATTTTTACTTTTTAATCGCATTGTGAAATTATATAGTGATATATATATATATATATATATATATATATATATATATATAACTTATATAGTTTTTACTACAATACGAATGTGGTATGTTGAAAACAGCATGATCGACTGCCTACATGAAATCATTGACCCTTGAAGGATAATTAAATTATATTGTATGTATAATAAGAATTATTTGCATATTTTTAATTAATACCAGTAAGAAAATGTATTAAATTTTTAAATTAATTTACTTTTATAAGAAAAAATGTATAAAATATAATTATTTATTATTTTCTTCCTTGACCATAAATGAAATAAGCCATTGAAGGATGCAAATTCTCAGCACACCCAATATATACACATTGTGTTAGTGAGTAATGTGTTGATTAAGAATCAATTATAAATTGTAAGGAATTATGAAGGATAAGGAGTTTTGTTTTCAAGTTCAATGACCATTAAAATGAAAGAACGGCAATAGCTATAATAATCGTATTTAAAACACAATTTAAATTTTTTACTACAGATACTCAAACAAACTTTGTAGAGTACGGTTTTTCTTTTTTAACTATAATATAGCTGTAATAACGCGAATAAAACTTTATTCAAGGCATATTTATTCCATAAGCTCAAAATTAACATAGTGATTCAATATGAACAAATAATCACAACCGTGTTAACGCGAACTTAACGTCGGTCCACGCGTTTATATATACGGTTCCGAGGTATCACAATGAGGTATCGTACCGGAGCTCATCGATAAACTTCTACAAATAGGTCATAACTGTGACTTAACTGGATGGGTAGTTTGAAATCAACTCAGGTGGTCATCGTTTCGAAATCCCAACGTTCAGCGTAGCTTAATAT